AGATCTAGTATGCTATTTGGTATTTTATTATAGCATTTAATACCTAACCCCATAAAGGATTTCTGTACCTTGGACAGTCTGAATTGCAGTACAGCTAACTTATTCTTGCCTCTAGTATTAAGATTGTGTCTATCGCTCCTTTTTTCGAACAATTGCCTATTCTTTCTATAGATCAAAGTTAAAGCATTTATTTTAGGCACTTTTGAAACGTCAGATTTTCCGTCCGTATGTCTGTCAGGGAAGCTTAGCGCTCGTTCCAATGTGTAGAATATAAAATAACCTTCATCTCTGTTCTCTTCTTACGCCGCCACTTCCAACCATAAAACTATAGTAACTTGTAAATCCTTACTATAATATTATAAATGGGAAAGTGAGTTTGTTTGTTTGTTTGTTCCGCTTTCACGCAGTAAGTACTAAACCGATTACTTTCAATTTTTGCAGACGTAAAGTTCGAAGTCCGGATTAAATAATAGGGTACTTTTTATCCCGGAAAAATTTGATATTCCTGAGAGAAAACAAAAGTATTGGTATAGATGGCGCTGTGTGTATTGGTATATATCACATAGGCTACCTTTTATCCTTTTGTGACGCGAGCGAAGCCGCGGGTAAAATCTAGTCTGCAAATAAAATGTTAGTTACATTCGCTGGCTCATAACTTGCGTCTATTTTTAGATTGCTCGCAGCCCTAATTCATGCCACTTCTACCAGTAGAGTCATCACCCGGGTAGTTATGTGGAAACTGGCGCATACAAGACGGTACTCCGCTCCACAAAGCTTGCGAGGTGCGGTCATTACGTGGTTTGTGTGGGGCTATTGAAACGGCGACGTAGGAGCAAATATTTGCTGGTGTATAAGTAAAATATTTAATATTTATAACCTAATAAATTTTGTGTGATTTCTTTGCGAAATCTATTTCTATTTTCATTTGTCTAACTTATATTATTTGTTCCAAAATTTTCTAGTCTAGAACAGCTATCCCACAGGAACGTAATATTAAGCAGAAGTCGGCCTTACATGATCAATCTCTGACTCTTGCAAATATTTCGATGGCGTTTTCCAGGAGGTAATGTACCGGTTCGACCGGAGTAATACCGCGGCCTCACAGAAAATCGACGTATAACAACGCTTGCGTTGTGTTTCGTCGTGTGAGTGAGGTTACCGGAGGCCCAATTACCCGAATCCCCACAATTACCCGAATCCTCACAATCCTCAAATTCCCAATTACCAAAAGCCGGTAACGCACTTGTAACGCCTCTGGTGTTTCAGGTGTCTATGGGCGACGCCGATTACTTACCATCACGTGATCAGTCCCATAAAAAAGGAGAAATATAATTAGTTTTGTCCTGACCTTTTCCTAACATTATTAGACTCATC